GAAAACCAAGAAAGCATTACCATTTACAATAGGCAACCACGAACTGAGATACTTGGGAGTGCACCTAACTAGAGACACAAAAGACTTATACAAAGAAAACTACAGAACATTTTTGTGAGACACAATAAAAGACCTAAATAAATGGAAAAATTTCCTCTTCTTAGTAAGAAGACTCAATATTGTGAAAATGATAATCCTACCAAAAGTAATCTACATGTTCAACCCACTCTCAATCCAGATACCAAATTCCTTTTTCAAGGAGATCAAAAGGGAAATTGTCAAGTTTCTTTGGAGAGGAAAGAGACCCTGAATAAGTGCTTTCCAAAGCACTTCTGGGGAAAAAAAATGAAATGGGAGGCATAGCACTCCCTGACCTCAAAATCTACTACACAGAAGTAGTAACCAAAACAGGATGGAACTGGTACAATGACAGACACATAGACCAATGGAAAAGAATTGAGAATTCAGAAATGGACCCATCTATCTACAGTCAACTGATATTCAACAGGGAAATAAAACCTATCAAATGGGGAATAACTGAAAACCTCTTCAACAAATGGTCCTGGTAAAACTGAACTACTACCTGCAAAAAGCTGAAACAGGATCCACATCTCACTTCATACACAAAAATCAGCTTAAGGTGGATCAGAGACCTGGGAATAAAGCCCCAAACCATAAAGTTCATAAGAGACAAACTGGGATCAAGCTTAGAATGCCTAGTCTGTAATATAAAGAGATTGCCAAATACAGCCAGAAATACACAATCTGAAGAGGATAAAATTGATGAATGGACCTTTTAACACTTAGGTCTCTGTGCTCATCTAAACCTTTTTCCAACATGGTGAAAAGAAAATCTACTGGCTGGGAACAAACATTTGGCAATAACATCTCAGAAAAGGGTCTCATAACAATAGTTTAAAGAATATTCCTGGGCCTACAGAAGAAAAAGACTTATAATCCAGTTACAAAATGGGCAAGAGACATGGAAAGACTTTGCACAGATGAGGACATTTAGATGGCCAACAGACACATGAAAAAATGCTCAAAATCACTGCCAATAAGAGAGATGCAAATCAAAACCACAATGAGATACCATCTTACCCCAGCAACAGTGGCAAAGTTTAACAGGGCAGCAAGTAATAAATATTGGCGAGGATGTGGCAAGATAGGAACACTTATACATTGCTGGTGGGATTGTTAAACGGTACAACCATTCTGGAAGGAAGTTAGGTGTTTCCTCAAAAAGCTGAACATAGAAATTTCATATGACCCAGCTACTCCACTGCTTGGAATATACCCTGAGAAAATAAAAACTGAGACACAAGCAGAAATTTGTCCACCAGTGTTCATAGCAGCATTATTCACCATTGTAAAAACATGAAAACAGCCCAGATGTGCAACCACAATCAAATGGATTGAGAAAGTATAGTATACTCACACAATGGAACACTACATAGCACACAGGAGCAATGATTTTATAAATTACTATCTAACTTGGGAGGGACCAGAGAGCATTATGCTAAGGGAACTAACTCAGTCCCACAAATACTGTATAAAACCGTTGTTGTAGAACATGTCCAAGGATCCAAGGCAGAGAGGGGAGCAGAAGGGTGAGAAGGGGGGACCTTAAATCTCAGGGTCGCACAATTTGATGGCTGGAGAAAGGGGTGGGTAAAGAAAAAGCAGAAAAGATCTGGTGTGAAAAACATTGTATACAAACTTTGTAAATAAATGTATAAAATAAAAATTTCATTTAAAAAATAATTAAAACGATCGAATGTGTTGGTTTGTAAAAATGCTTAGAGCAGTCTACTACATGGTAACTGTTTAGTGAATATAATTATCCTTGTAATCACTACAGTCTGCTGGAAATTTTTTGTTTATTTGTTTTGGAGGGTTGGGGTTTTGTTTTTTTTTTTTCCTTTAAAATATTTTCTTGGAATCTTTTATGTGCAGGAAAGCCACCAAAACAAGCACTTACATAAGACAAAATAAATATTTGTGAAAGCCATCTCCTTACCACTAGTTGTTGTTAATGTGCTTTTGAGTAAAAACTCATAGCTGATCCTCCAGCAGGTTTTCAGAGGCTGTAAATCACACTATAAGAGATTCCCCATCCTTTCCCTTAGAGCAGCTCATAGATTGGAACTTTTGAATGGGCAGTGCAATTCTTAATATCTAGACCACCACATTATTACTAAGGGGCCCACATTTTTAGACTTTTTCCTCCCTAAGTTGTCAGCTGTTAATCCAAGCAATACAGGAAAGGATAGATGCCAAGCTTCCAAGATCCATCCAAAACCAAACAGGGGGTGTTCTTTGTGTCAGCCAAATCTATAGCCACCATGAGGAAGGGAAATGGCTAATTCTTTTGTCTTGTTTTGTTTTGTTTTTTCCTACTTCTTGTTGAAGTCTGTGAGTTAAGGGTCAGGACCACAGCCACTAGGGCTCCCAAACACTTGAGAGCATTACTCCAAGTGGATAGATACCAATCTGTAGGCCTTCAGTCCTCAAGTTGTTAAGGGTTTCCTGGGAAGAGATATTGCCCTTGCTTGAGCCAAAGAAATCACCATGATACACATCTTCAAGCTTCTAATAAATGAAAAATTAGACACTTATGGCACTACAGAACCATCTCCGGTACTCAGGAGCCTAAGAAGAAACCAGTAAATCGGCAAGGACCGGACCTATTCTGGTCCTACTTCCTTTATCCTGGGCTGAGTCACAAACTGCAGTTTGACAGATAAAACCTCTCAGAGAAGCTGGGAATATGGCCCTTGGTAGTGCAAATGTCCTCTTGGTGAGGATCCCTTCTGGGTCACCTCCTAAATTTTTCTTCTCCCCTCCCCACTCTTCTTCCTATACTGGTACCATCACCCTACATTTTGGCTCAGAGTATTCCAGAATTTATGGTATCTCGCACTAGTCTTAGGGATTGATTTAAGTGACACACTTTTCAACTTCACTTGATTTTCCCCCATTTCTCATTTGAAGGAGAGGTGCAAAGAGGATTGTGACACCACTAGGTTCCACGTGTCAGTAAACAAGGGTGCACATTCCTTAACTTGGTTGGAGCTACTACTGCTTGAAAAATTGTTGTGGTAGAATGAGAACAGAGAAAATGAAAAGAAGCTTTCTCTAACCTCACAGTTCCCTTTTCTATTCCGTTTCTTTTTCAGCAAGTAAGCAGTAGTCTTTGCTACATTTAAAATCTATTCATAATAGCAGCCACTAATTCTTTCTCTGGAATCTTGGCTGCCTTTAATCAATGTCAATTTTAATTTATTTTGGAGAGAAGGAATCTTGACCTCCATTCAAGGACATCTGCTCTCTTTTCTAGTGGCTTCAGTTGAGTTCCATCAATATTACCCACTCAGAGTGGGGCCTTCTTGTTCTTACGTGCATACATTTACAAAACTCTTGTTGTCATTGTGTTACTCAGTCGCCATGTCAAGGATCTCACATAATAATTATGGCCCCTCACACAAACCACGGCAAAAGCAAAGCCAAGACCACGCTGGTACTACTGGGTGAGTTAACAGTAGAGGAAGCCCCGTGGCATACTAACCCAGTCTGTCTCCTCTCCCAGGGTGAGGGAAGGCTTCAGTGGTGCACAAGAACTAGAAGGTCATGTTTCTTCTGTCCTCTCATTGTCCCCATATCTTGTTATCCTTCCACAGATCCTGATCCCAGCCCTGATGGTAACTGCTGAGAAGGACAAAGTGCTTGTGCCAGAGATGTCCAAGCATATGGAGGACTGGGTAAGAAAGTGCTCCCACACCAGGTGCATTGTCCTGAGAGAATGCCAGTTCCCAGAGTAAAGACAAACAGCAGAAGACACATCTCATTTTGCTGGAGTGTGCTATCTGGTTAAGCCATCAACATGCCAAAGACATCAGTAAAACCATGGTTACTCTTAGGAGCAGTAATCATGACTTCTCCATAATCATGAGCACTAATAATGACTGAGACTTGCCCAGCAGAGTGAATGAGGAGAAGATGGGATGAGGGAACATACATGGCATGCTTAGAGAAAGAAAATAAACTTCATGGAACTGGGGAATTTTGCTGAATCCCTTGGGTCATGCTATTCGTGTGAACTCATAGGCATGGAAACACAGGGAAGAGGACTAGCTAAGGCATTAGACTTGCATTGAAAGATTATTCTCCTGAAAGTGTAGAGGTTGGTATGGATTGAAGAACCCTAGAGATGAGGCAGCCATGGGCTCAATTAGCCGGGCTAATCATTGAAAGTCGAACAGAATGCACTTGGCCATGGTTTTGTTGGCTCAATTAAGCACAGTGTCAGGAGAGTAGCACTATTTAGTTTAGGATGCTACCACAGCCACCCTCTGCCGTTTACCAGAGAGACGAGCTGTAGAGCTGAGAAGTGTTGCCAAAAGCTGAGTCTGAGGAAGGACCTCTGGTGGTGTAGTCCACAGCATGAGCACTGCTAATTAAGAGAGTCTAAGATTCTCCTTTTGGACCCTAATCCTTAATGATTTCTTAATAAATTAGCATTCTTTAGCCAACACTTTTCAGAGGTGTAACTGCTAACTTTATTCTACCAGAAGAGACATCTCCTTCCAGGAGAAAAGCTTCCTTTTTCTCAGCAATTTTCACATAATATTCACCCTTGCCACTCCCTTATAGGTCTGTGGCAGACTCCCTGTCCCGAGCTGGGGCATCACTGTTCCTGTGAGATCCTTGGTGCTCGTCACAGTGATCCCCTGTGGCGATTCAGAGTTCCCAGAAGAGGGTCGAGCAGCCTTGCAGGCAGACTGCCAGAGCACGAGACAGGCCGCCTGAAGGAGCGAACACTCATGTCTGAGGGACGAGAGCCAGATGATGACCGGGCACTTTTTAAGGCAGTGAACCGTCAGAATCCCATTGATCCTGAGGGGAGGGCTTGTTGTAAAGAGTAGGAGTCAGATTTTAAATTTTAACTCTTTTCTAACTATGACCCTGAGAGACTTAACATACCTCTCTATGAGTTTGTCTCATGGAATTATGATCAGGATTAAACAAAGTCGTGAGTGTAACACATGGGTGTGTTGTTAGCTTGCTGCTTCTTTCCTGGTTCACGTTGACCCCCACATACAGAGGAATGAAACTTCCCTGTCCTGGGATTGCAGATCTGAACATTGTGATCAATTGGGTTTACACTGGATAATGTTGGGACTTTCTTCCTAGTCCATCTTAGTCCAGAAGCTTCTCTGAAACCCATTCAACATAATAGCAACACACAAACTTCCACTGAAAAGTGGTTGGGGACTACACATGAGGTGCGGTTGAATATGCACTTCTCCACGTGTAAAAAGAGCAATGGCAGCATGGACAATGTGGGCACAACTGACCCGTAGTTACCTCTGAAAAAGAGAACTGTCACCATCAGTAACATCCACAGTACCAAATAGCTACAAAGTCAGTCAGATATAGCCCCTATTCTCCTGCACCTACTTCTACTGATGTTCTGAGTCTACTGATGTACTGGGTCTGATGTTCGTTGTAAATTGACTCAAAGATTATATTCACAGTTGTGGGGTTTATTAGGGAAATAGGTTAAGGGATGGGGAAGGCAAAAGATTTTGTTTGGACAGTTTCTTAGTCAACAAGTTCAGGTTCAGCCCAGCAACACAAATCCAAGAAACCTCAGGTTTCCTCAATCATCCAGCAAGCAGATTTGTCTCAGAATGATCACAAGTCAGCTATCCATGCAATCATCCAGCAAGCAGAACTTTTAGCGCTGACTCCATCGCCAGGGCTCTGTCAGGCTATGCCTCATCACAGTCCCTCTACAGTACGGTGGCCTCGCAGCTGTTGATGATGAAGACATTGATCAAGGGTGAACCATGTGTCTGCAGTTGAGGCAGCTGGAGACCATGTCCCCAAGGGAGATAAAGCACTGACTAGAAAAGCCATTTTCAAAAGTCTTTTTTTTTCTTAGATTAACACATGAGCTTATTTATTTGCCACACATAGAAAATTCTGTTTCTGACTGGAGCTGTATTTGGTGGTAGAAGCTCTCAGAGAGGACAGCTTCCATCTCTCAGCAATCTGCTCCTCGCGTTTTTCTTTGGCCTCCTTCATTCTCTCGGCCAAAAGCTTAGCATACTCTGTAGCCTCCTCCTTTTCCTTCTTAGTGCGATGTTTCTTCAGCAAAATGCGCCGGCACTAGTGCTGCAGGACACGTGGAGTAACAAGATGCTGAATCTTGGGCACTTTTGTCCTGGGTTTCTTGCCTTCTTTGTTCAGTGGCTTTCTCACGAAATATTGATGAACATCATCTTCCTTGGTGAGACTGAAGAGTTTGCGAATTCTGCTGGTCTCTTGTACCCCAGGCGACCAGGCACAGTGGTATCAGTCAGTCCTGGGATATCCTTCTCCCCTTTCTTGACAATAACTAAAGTGAGAACATTCAGATTGGAATCCACAATGCAGCCCCAGACAGACTGGCACTTCCTCTCTCTAGTTCTTCGTGGTCTGTAACAAGAATGCCCCTTACTCAGCAGCAGGCAAACTTGGCCAAGGGTCAAAACACCCTGTTTCATGGGAAAACCTGGTTTGTTGTTTCCACTGCTGATCCAGACAACATATCCCTTTCACCCATCACCAAGAAAGTCAGCAGCAACTTCTGTGGCTATTGGCTTCTCATAAAATGTACGAAGTTTACATTCATCATCCACTTCAGTGAGTTTTTGGCAGCCAGTGGTTGGGAAAGAGATGTTCAGCTTCATGATGAAGCAGTCAATCACCCTAGCTACACCATGAAAAAGAGTCATTTTCAAAAGTCTTAACACCATAACATACAAGGCAAGAATCCTACCACTGAGCCACCTATGCCTTCTCCAGTGCATAATAGGTGCTCAACAAACGATAATCCCTTTTTGTGCTGCTAACCCAAAGGCCATGCCTCTCTAGCAGCTTGAATCCAACAGCTTCTTCATTGGAGAAAGATGAAAAATTTCTTCCTGTGTGATTTACTGCCTTGGAAAACTAGTGGAGGCTCAACTATGAGACAGTTCTGACTTGACAGTAACGGGTGATACATAATATAAAGCCCTTTAGAAGGTGACCTAGGGGAGAAGACTTGAAGGTGTTCTCTCACAGGTGGCCTTTGTTGGCTCATAGCACTAACCTGAAAGCAGACCTGTGCTTTCACACTTATATTAAATGGTAACATAACCACTTACAATTTTTTTAGGTTATTTTTTTTTAAATTTAAATGGACGGTGCAGGAGGGGAAGACCCTCTATGAGGTGGATTGATTCAGTGACTGGGGTAATCGGCATGGGTGTGTCAGAGGCAGTGTGACTGGCACAGGATAGAGCAGGGTTTAGGGCTGTTGAACATAGGGTCGCTATGAGTCACAAGCGACTCGACGGCATATAACAACAACAACAACAATTATTAATTTAAGTAAAAATTTACAGATACTTTGGATTTCCATTCATTCATTGTTACACTTCTTCACCCCTCCCAACCCTCCACCCTAGTACACTACCCTTTTGGAAAAGTAAAAGAAAAATTCTTTCATTGTTTTACAAACTCTCCCCCAGGTCCACTCCACCATGTAGCCATCGCTCTAGACTCCTGTCATGACGAAAATACCTAATCACATATCCCTTTTAAACAGTTTTCTCCCTCAACTGTTTCAGTGTAGTATACATTATTGAACCCATCTTTCTCAGTCTCTCCCCAAACCCGATGTCAGTCCTGTTGTACAACAGTGGCACCACAAAGTATTTGTCCTTTTGTGACTGAGATATTTCACTCATCATAATGTCCTCCAGGGTCACCCATTTTGAATAATAATGTATGAGTTCCTTGTTTTTCAATGCAGCATAGTATTCC